TTCTTTTAAAGATCACTGTGTTAAAAAAAAAATACTCCCATTTGTATTATTCTGTCATTGAGCTGAATACTTGGAACTGATGCTTTAGCAGGCAAATCAGGATTTCTTCATTCTAGAATGCATTTAGGGTCTTCAAAAGTCTCTTACGTGTCTTTTACTTTAAATATGGACATGTGTGGGGATTTGCTCACTGCCACTCCAGTGAGCTTTTCATATCTGGTATGGATCTTCTAACAGTCATGGGCTCAACTTGATGATAGAGACACTCCTTTCTGGATATTAGTAAAAGTCAGTCATAGCTTCAAACTTCCATTGGTTACTTAAACATGAGTAAGGTATTCAAACTTCCCTCAGTCTCATTCTGGGATTGAAATTAAGATTTGCAATATAAAGCAAGAGCTTTGTTTTTCCAGGGATGAAAAGAAACAACCATGGTTCCAAGTGAGTGTGGCTATTCTAATTGAATGCTGGCTTAAAAAATAATAGTGATATATGAAACTTGCCAGTAGATACAGCATCCAAAATAGAACAGGTCCATTTCCTAAGCCCCGTGCTGGTAGATATCAAGAGCATCTAGACACATCATGTATATTGTCTGACRAGCAGTGGGATCTTTTTAAATGGCTGTTATTGATGGCAGCCATCTTAATTTGCATATTTTAAGTCTAATGTTTTTTCCTTCCAAAAGATATAAAAGCAGTATAAATCCTTTGTAAGTGTAGGAATTTATTTTCTTAATATATAATATATTAGCCCTATTATAAACTAAAYAGACACATCTCAACTTTTGACTTTCAGTTTTATTACTGTTACTTAGATATGCCGACCTTTACCTGTTCCTTTCAGGAGGAAACTCGCTTGTGTGGTGGTACTGGCTCTGCTGGGCTAGGGGTCAAGGGCCAGAAAGTATGATTACAGAGGATGATATGGAGTACATTCTCCTGCCTGCAGAGGATTGGGCCCTAACCCTCAGTGCCGAGTAGCTGTGGCTTTGTGCTGTCTGAAGTTTAATGATTATAAACTAATTCCTTCCATGAGTAAAAGCCTTTCTCCATTTCCTTCTCTTTTTCTTGGAAGTTAACACATTTCTAAGTTTCTATGATGCTTAAGGGAGGCTTAAGCTACAGCACAAGAAAATGAGTGTTAAGGTGTAGCTGCTTTCTCCCCACCCAGCTTCCCCCTTCACTTTATTGGCTTTTGTGTGGCTGACGTTATAATGTCGTGCACTTTGCTTATCATATGAGTATTTTAATTATGTTGAGTTATGATGTAATTCCAAATTTATAAATTTTAAAAGAAACTTTTGGAATATTGCCCTTTTATAAGGTGAATGCCCTGTATCAAGTTCTTGTAATTCCTTCAGAACCAAGAATTCATAGAACTCAAATTGAGGGGCGGGGGGAACCTGTGGAGCAAGACAGTCTCATTAACTGACTGCTTCTATAGTTGCTAACACCAACAGCTTGCTGCATGCCAACTACTGTGCAAGACTTCACTCTACACTGGCCCTCAAATTGTCTTAGTAATYCAGTGTAGAAAGCATAATGATCTCTCATATTTTCAGATAAAAAGTTAGTAGATCAGATACACATTTGTGGAGCCTTTTTAGTGCTGGAGACACAGAAGACATGGCTCTTGTTGTAAGGTAGTTGGGCTTCTCCCACTAGCACAGTGACAAGTGAGTGTGGAGTAAGCTTGTTAGCTCATGTGCTTTCTCACAGAGGGCAAGGCCACCCTAGGCCTTATCACTTAAAGAAAGCTCTTAGAACTTTTGGCATTTGAGCTGGATATTGCAAGAAGTTAAGATCATATATTTCAAGGGGAAAAGCAGTATGTTTGAAGCAGAGGAATTTCTTTTCTTTTTTTCCCCTACCTTCAGTTTTACAAAATAGTACTTTGAACATTTAGCCTGAGTGGAAAGGTTAAATCAGGAGATTCATAATTGGTATCTTTGGGGCCCAGGGAAACTGTGATGTGGACAGTGATACAGAGAGAGGGGACTTAAATGTAGCTTTTCCCTTAGTCACCAGGCAGGTCACAGTGGATACAGCCCAGCCTGTTAGCCTAATGGTCCAGTGATAGCAATGGCTGGCCTTCACCGAGTGTTAACTGTGCACCAGATCCTGCCATGCATGCTTATATACATTATTTCATCTAACCCTCACAACCACCCAGTGAGGTGTTTTCTAGATGAAAGACGCAGAGATTAGGTGACTCAGTCAAGAGGCCCCAGACCTCCGTACTGTTCACTGAGCATTCCTCACTAAGGATAGTCCCTGTTGGTGGTATTCTCRTGATCTAAAACTTGCTACTTGTGAACATTATAACCCCATAGACATGCAAGGGACAACACCCCACATATACCATGTAGGTTGTCAAGAGGAAAGAAGAGAATATGGAGCAGTTTAGTTTCTACTAAAACTAGCAAGAAACTTGTCTTACCATTTTGATACCAGTTTTTAGTTGTACATGACTATATTTTACCCATAAGCATTAAGAACTGTTTATAGGAGATAGACTGGGACATATAAACTATTTTAAAAGTAGATTGAAACCTATTCCAATTCTAAGATTAAATGTGAGAGTGGTGTAGAGTGACTGAGTGGAAGATAGAAGGGACTACATGGGAAAAGCAGACCARTTAAGGCTGAGCAACAGTGTTGATCTTGACCAGTGTCCCTGATGGAGGAGAAGGGTCTGGCAGATGGTGGAAGCTGAAATACTAGTTGCAGGAAAGTTTTGAAGGTAAATAAAATGGATATAACTCTGAATGTGGCCAATTGGTATGAGAAGTGAYTYYTTTTTTTYMRKTTTTTTTTTTKTTGTTGTTGTTATCATAGAAAGTATAATAGTGATTAAGGCTAAATAGACCAAAGATTGCTTGATTTTTCAATGTAGATGAATAAACAGTTACCATTCCAGGGGATATATCATGCTCAGAGCATCAGTAGAAGAGCAGGTCTGCTTTTTCTAGATGTTTGTCAGACAATCCACCATAGCAGGTAAGTTCCCAGAGTAGCATAGCGGGCCTGTGGGCAAACCAGCCTTTTCTCAAATGGTGAATACATTTCCTTTTGACAGCCCTGTTACAAAGCTTTACCTTGTGGCTTCCAGCCTCTGGCCCACTCCTCTGCATCTGGCCTGGTCTTTCTTTAGATACAGTACTGCTAAAGCTTTCTCTATGAGCCTCCATCTGTACCCCTTAGACCCCGTGTCAACAGCGTGCAGCTTTCCTAAGGGACTGCCCCTCCAGTTCTGAATCTAAGCCTTGTTGATGGAGACATTTTCATTTTTTATAACCCAGCTCTTATTAAGTGATGATTATTTTATAAGGCTGTTAGGAAACCAGATTGAAACCTCGTCCTAAAGTATTCACAACGTAATGGGGACTGACAAACATTTATAGAAGACTTGAAGAACCGTTTTTAAAAAGCGAATCCAACCCAGTGGGTTTAATATGGAATGAAGTGAGGGGGTTGCTTCATTTCTTTGTTATTATTGCATTGAGGGTAAATTTAAATAGAGTGAAATTACACAACTTAAATGTCCAGTTTGGTGATCCTGACAAATGTGAGCACCGTGTAATCCCCAGAGTCCTTGTCACCCCTAAAACTTCCTTATGCTCCTTCCAGGCACTTCCTATAGGCAACTGCTATTCTGATTTCTGTCCCCACAAATTGGTATTGTTTGTACTCTCTGGTCTGGTAAGGAATCCAAGTCTCATCAAAGGTCTCCAGCTAACAACAGAATAAGGAGGACAGCAATTTTCAGAGACTTTGCACCAACATGCCCTGTATCCTTGGGCAAAACACTTAATCTTCTCTGAGCCTCGAGTACAGCATATTATTAAATATCCTTGTGGCCCCTTTAGATCCAACCCTGCACCGACACTTCTAGTCTCAAGCCCCACCATCTGCTCAGTACCTGAAACAAAAACAAGTGTGTTCACTCCTCCCTGCTTCCTCTCCTTATCCAGCCACATCRAGTTCCAGCTGTATCATATCAGTTGTTCCTTGTAATGTTTTTGGATGTGTCTCTTCTTTGGCCACTGCCTCCTCTTCATTCTGGCCTTCTGAATTGTTAACAGCTGTCAAATTACTATCTTTACTCTCTTGCCCCTGCTCTCTCCATACAGTATTGTCATTGCCCCCAAAACAATTCTTCTCTGTTTAGAACCTCCCAAGACCCTCCAACTTTCAAGATGCTTCTCCACCACCTGGAGTGTTCAAATTCTGAAGTATGATAACCCGAGGGCCTGCGCCACCTGCCTCCAGCCCACTTTCAGTGCCTTGTTTCCTACCGTGCTCTCTGGCCCTGCTCTGCCTTCCAGGTCCCCCTTCTTCCCAGTGGGGTTGCTCAAGGCTTAATGCAGCCCTCCCCCTTTGTATTTTGAGGACATCTTGAGGGAGATGAGGCTGCTATTCACATTGTTTCATTTCCAGCATCTGCAAATTAAATTGCTAAGGAAGATGGACTCTCTGGTCAGGGTCTTACTTGGAGTTCAAGTTGATGTATTTTTAAAACTTAAAAAATCACATAGAAGTTTTCATACATTTCTGACCACTTTCAAGTCTGATTCTGAACTTTTTTTTGCAGTAGCTTTCATGGTAAAGGTGAGAAAGTTTGTATTTATGTGGAGAGGATATTAAGGGGTACTGAAATAGTGAATCCTATGGGTAAAGGGGCTAATCTGTACTCTTCAATTCCCATCTCAAATCCTACCTGATGTGCTTGTCCATTTAATTCTAGAATGGCAGATTACCATTTCTGGGAATGAAGATAATTTCTAAAAGTCTTTGTGATAATTAGCAAACAGGGGAGAAAAAGGCTAAAAATAACTATTAAATATTGAATCAAGTATTATATTTATAGCCCCTGTTTGTTCACCATGGTTCACTCTGTCCTGGTTTTCCAGTGTTTCGTTTCTTCATTGTGAGTCAGCATTATACACCAATTGATCACTGCTAAAACAAAGATATTTTTATCTTTTCCAAACCTAGGTAAGAACCTCGATGCTGTCCATGACATTACTGTGGCATATCCCCACAACATTCCTCAAACAGAGAAGCACCTCCTCCATGGCAACTTCCCCAAGGAAATCCACTTCCATGTCCATCGACATCCAGTAGACACCCTCCCCATGTCCAGGGAGGACCTGCAGCTCTGGTGCCACAAGCGGTGGGAGGAGAAGGAAGAGAGGCTGCGTTCCTTCTACCAGGGGGAGAAGAATTTCAATTTTACTGAACAGCATGTAATTCCACCTTGCAAGTCTGAGCTCAGGGTCCTTGTGGTCAAATTGCTCTCTATACTGTACTGGACCCTTTTCAGCCCTGCAATGTGCCTGCTCATATATTTGTACAGCCCTGTTCGGTGGTATTTTATAGTCACCATTGTAATCTTTGTGCTGCAAGAGAGAATATTTGGCGGACTAGAAATCATTGAACTTGCATGTTACCGTCTTTTTCACAAGCAGGCACATTTAAACTTAAAGAAAAATGAATAAGATGGTCAGGCTCACAACGTAAAAACCTAAAGGGATATTTTGGAAATGTCTAAGCCTTTGTAAACTGAGATGCATTTTGCATGATTGTCAGATATTTCTTACTATCATCATTATTTGTTAAAAGATATTTTGCACTTAATTTTGTGGGGAAAATATTGCTACAATTTTTTTTTAATCTCTGAATGTAATCTTGATGCTGCAAATGTAGCAGGGATCGATTGCTGTGACATAACTTGGGCCATATTTTTATTAAACAATCATCAGGCTATTGATAGACAAGGTATATACAAGTTCTCTGAAAGGCCCAATCTTCTAACCCAACAGACTCACCAGACCAGAAGCAGGTGTGGAACTCATGAGTAGTGTGGCCCGACAGGCACTGATACTTGACTGCCCAGCTCACCCCCGGAGGTGAGCACTCTTCCTCCATGCAGCCATGCACGTGGTGCCTGGGCTCGATCCCTGGGCCCCGTCTGCATCCTTTGTATGCCAATCAAACCCATCCCATCCTCCCTTAAGATCAGAAAACATACCTCCCTTATCCCCAAGATGATCAACATAGGAATCCTCTCATTCCACATAGTATCTTGGGCTAACCAAGCGATCGAAAGACCACCTGTGCCCTTTCTTCACATGGAAAAATCACACCTGCACATGACTCAGGGAGCAACCACAGACTCTCCACTTGGAAACCTTAGTTTGAATTTTAAAAGCTAGGAATTAGCTCCAGTTCTTCACTCATCCTCAATCTTGCATGCTTAGTGCTGGTTTCCTTACAACTTGGCAGGTGTAGCTTTTTCTGTTAAAAGGGGTAGGCATGCAGCCACATGCTGTCTTAGAGGCATGCTGAGAGGAACATCCTGTTATTGTAGACAGAAACTTTCTTGTGAAACATTTTTTAAAACCTACCAAAAAAGGAAGGTTATTGTTTTCTACATGTGCATGGGTATCTAGCTTCTGCCATTAAAACAACCACAAAAATACAGACATGGCAGTAATGGTTTATCCTAAATTATTCAAGCCTGGTAGCTTTGATAAATTTTATACAAGGATAACACAAATGAATCCTTTTCAATGATAGCAGGGAAATGTCTCTCTTTTTAGTCCCAGATTTACTCTTTCAATAGTAATATTTAAACCCACTTTTGATCAACTGTTTATCTAAATATTTCTGACACTTGGAGTCAGAGGAAAATCTAGCAAACCCAAAGCACTGTCTCCTTCTGAGGCAAAAGGAGCATGTCATCATAGGTTCCAGCCCATTGGAGCTCTGTCCTCCTTTTTTTTTTTTTTTTTTTTTTTTTTGCCTGGTAATAGGGATAATGGTCGAGCTGCAAAAATATGAGCCTATTAAAAGTCTTTAGCTGTTGGCTGCAAGTCTTGCCCCTCCAATGAGTTCTACTCACTGTTCTCTCAGTCCTTTGAAGGTGACTTTGAAATGTTCGCAGTGTATTTGTCCAATTGCCAAATTTACCATTCTAAAAGGTTCTAAGGATGGCAAGTGTGATCTATTTACAATATGAACCACTGTGCTTAAAATATAAGGGGTATCAACTGGGTAACGAGTTCTTACACCACATATCTTTTATGAAACAAGCCAAAGTACTTGCTTCAAAATTTAGAGAATATAGTGAAAAACTTAAAAAATAAATGTTAAAAGAGCCCATCATTTTAGACTTCAATAATCCTTCCTTATGCCATCAAAATGCATGTTAGAAAAAAAAAACAGCTTTCATGTAATGTCATTTTGAAATGAATTACTGCAATAGCACCATATCAAGAACGGGATATTAGTGGCCAAGACCACGTCTTGAGACAGGCATGTTCTGTTTCCCCTGGACTTCACGCTCTGGCCCCAATAATGACACTCTTACAGTAAGGACTAATGGAGGAGCCTGTTGGTGTTAAATTGTTTACATTTTTTTATATAAATAATGTGCTTTCAGTGCCTTAGTTTGGGTTTCTTTCTTTTTTTTTTTTATTCCAAGAATTCTGCAATGCATTTCTTAGGTGGGAGGTGCATTTCCAGTGGGAGGAAAGGGTCTGTAAGTACCAGTCACTGAGTGTAACACCACTCAGTCACATGTGGGGAAGAGCACTCAGTGCTGAGGCGTGGTGGCCCTACAGTAGTTTTCATGCTGTAGAAGATGAAAGTGGTTCTGCCACATGATGAGCTTTGGTTGAGGTCTGGCCCTAAAGTTGTCTTGTCCCTCCCTAAAATTTTTATTTCAGAAGAGAATCTTGGTTTTAGTAATTCATTTTTTAAAAATATCCTTATGTGAAAAACACCAAGTTTTAAAAATAACTCACAGAATGGCCTTAGTTTTTAATGTCTACTGGTGTGTTTTGTGAGTCGTGTTATCTGTGATCCACATCCAGAATAAAGTGGTGTACGTGAAATAGAGTTTACATGTGTGTTCTGCCTCCATTTCCTCAGGCATAACAGAAACAACAGGTTCTGGTGCCACTTTGTCTCCCTGTGCTGTTACAGCCTTTCCAAGGATAGCGTTCAGGAAGAACTGGTAGCTCAGGATTCTTTGGATTCTTCATTTGGCAGGTATTAAGAAAAAGTGGCCTAAGCTAAAAAAGAGTATACTGGTTCTCCTCAGGACAATTTAGTCATTCCAACACATGAGTCTTCAAGGTCTGTGGGACTCCATGCTCCCCTTCCTCTCCTTACTGTTCAGCAGTACAATTATCTTACGCTAAAACTTAACAAGTGTATAAATATGTCCTGCCTACTGAAAGCTGTGATGCCCATTCTGTCGTGAGTTCTCAGGTGAGCTCTCCATTGTGAGTTTCATGGGGGGAAGCCCATGGTGGTGTTTGGGAAAGGGGCATGCAGGGCCGAAAGAGTGCAGACCTAGCCCCAAGAATGCGGGTCCCAAGGACTGAACCATGGGGCATCCAGGGCTCCTACGTTCTGTTTGAGCCAAGGGAAAGAATAGAACATGGTCTCTCTTTAGACCCCAACTAATCTCCAGCAGGACCCATTTCATTGACAAATTATATAAACTCATTTGCCTAGAAATGCGATGTGGAACCCATCCCTGGGTTACTTGCCACCCTCTAGTGCCAGAGTTGGAGCTCATTTCTCTGGACCACAGGATGGGAGCAGGATGAATTTTAAGAGAACAGTCAGGCATCATTGCAAATAGCATGAATCAATGCCAAATGACCACAAATGTCCACAACTATTAAACTTCCTAAACTTGCCAGCGGAGCTAGAGTAGGTGGGCATGATTTACAGAAAGCCTTCCAGGCTCCTGCCTGAGGACTGCACCCACAAGACCTAACAACCTCCCCAACGCCCCCACCTCCTGACACCATCACTCTGGGGTGCGAATTCCAGGGAAACATGAGCAAATGTTCAGACCAGAACAATTACATATGGTGGTGAGGTGGACAGGTTTGACAGGTCTAGGATAGAAATTAGACTTCTCTGAATATATCTGACTTTATATTACACATGACTTTGGAACCAACTTTATATTTTACAGAATTATAAAATTAAAAGGGAAAATGTAATTCCTAAAAATCAAAAGGAAAATGAAAATTAATCTATATCAATATTGTAGCTTAATCATGCAGAAAGGAATTATTTCAGATAACTATAATGTATATCCCTAATAGTGAATAGCCTAAAGGCAAAAGAACTACCAAAAAAAGTTAAATAATTTTTGTCATCATATTGTTGGCTGTCAGTTTATAGTTTATTTTCTGAAACTATTGCATTTACTATAAGATAAAGAGTATGGGTAATTATGATAATGTTGCTAGGAACTAAGATTTTCAGTGTAAAAGAAAAGATGTATAAATATAAAATTAAAGCAATTAAGTAAAAACCCAATAATCCTAAGTATTTCTCTTTAATTAAAAAAATATATATATTCTTCTAGTTTTTGCTGTCCCCATTGGAAATGCTCAGAAATAATAACCAATAGTAGCAACGAGCCCCCTTAGTGCCTGATACTGGAAATCCATTTCCACTTAAATGAGGCAGAGGCTCGAAGACTTTAGTCTTTACAGTAAGTCATTGTGAGTCTACTGCTGAAGCAACTGGTATAGGGCTTCATGGGTCAATATGGGTAGCCAGTCAGCCTGACCCAGGCAGTCTTTCTGAGTGGCCAGTGTGTCGGGAAAGATCATCCTATCTGTCCACGGGACCCTTTGGGAGCCCAGGGACCTACCCAGGGTGGATTGCTGTCCCTCAGACTGCCTAAGCCTTCCAGCCACAGGACCAGCACCTCAGCAGGGTCAAGCAGACCAGCAGTTGAGCAGGCATCCACGTGCCCCCTTCTCTTCTACCAATGGGATCTCCCAGACTCTCCCTGGACGCCCCTTGTTGTGACCTCACAGGCAGCCCAGTTCCCCATTGGTTCCTGCAATAGGGGAAGGACAGGGATGGGGCATCAGGGAGATGGTTCCTGGCCCCAGGCTCATCCTCTACCTCCAGCTCTTCCTGAGGTCAGGGCTGGCAAATCTGGCACACTACGGCCACCTGCAGAGCTTTAATACCTGCTTGGGGGTGAGAGGGGCATGGATACCCTGATTAAATGGTCAGGCTTGAGCCTGGGGAACCAGAGCTTCCCCAGCTCCCCAGGGATTCTGATGGGCAGCCAACCTGCCTGATCTACTACCTCAGACCTCAGACTTAGGCTCCCACCCTCAAGCCTCTGGTCACCCATGTATAAAATGAGCATTTGGCCTTAGATGTTCTGGAAGCCCTGAGTGATTCATGAGTTGATTTAACTCATTGTAAATATTTATTAACTCCTTACTAGATGTGAGCTCCTGGCTTGACCAGGGAAGAAGCAAAGATAGGCAAGCTTTACTCTTTGCTCTTTACACACATACACTCCTCTCTTCAAAATAAACAAAACTGTTCATGAAGCAATGAAGCACCACATCCAGCCAACCAGACAGAAGTAAAGAGGGTAAATCAAAGAAGACACCCTATGCCAAAGCCTCACCTTGGCTGCAGTGCCATGTTTGGGTGCAGATGTGGCTGGAGTCTCCCTGTCCTGCAGGTGGGTAGAGGGCATCAACCCTGTGACCGCCTGTCCACTGCCCAGGACTAGGATGGTGTTGAAGACAGTAGCTGGGAGTACAATATCCAGAGACTGTTGTAAAGTGACAAGAGAATCGAGCCTGCTCCCTGTGATCATTTATATTCCTCCTTCCTGGCAGTGGACGCTTCCATGCCATGGGCTGGAGGAGAGAGAATCCATCTTCTCTGTAATGCCCCATTCTGTAAGGTCCGAACACCAACTGGGAAATGCCCTTTAGGGACCAGCAGCCTTCGGGGAATGGAGGAGAAAACTCAGGTTCCCTGGTTGGACCCGGTGAATACAGGGAGAAGGCCAGGGAAGCAGATGGACTGTCAAGGTGTGGGTGCAAGGGACAAATGTGAAGTTGGGCCTGAAGCCAGATGACAGAGGGTGCAGGGCTTTAAGGAAACTCCATAGTTCTGAGAAGGAGTGGGTACGCAAAGAGCCGCCTCCTGTGGAGGTTACTTCATTCTTCTGGCTGCACATGACTGGAAGGTCACTTGCCTAGAGGAGCTAACCCCTGATTCTAGGTAGGGTATCACTGGGGATGAGAGCCCCTGCCTTCTCAGGAAGTTGCTGGCTAGAAACCAAGGGCCAGTTCCAGGGGAGTGCAGCCCAGTCAGCCTCACAGGGCCTGCCTGGAGAAGGGCCCCACACTTGCTTCAATGTGCCTCTGCACCATCTTCAGCTTCGTGGTAGTTTTTGAACAAGGACTCTCATCTTTTTCTTTCACATTGGGCCCCACAACCAAGGTAGTCAGTCCCTCCTGGTGGTTATAGGAGACCCAGGAAATTCTGACTTCAAACTGTGGTCCTAAGCCCTGGATCCATACAGCCAGCCTTCCCCACCCCACCCCAGAATGGAATCAAGCTCCCAGGTGATCCTCGCACAGGCAGGCCGTCACTGAGGAATGGTTTTCCCAGTCTGTGGCCTGCAGAAGTCTCTGCGGAGCTTTGGGCACCTCCTTTCCAGACATGCCCTCCCTGTGCAGCCCAGCATCATGGGACCCACAGCCTGCCCTGAAGGCCTCTCTCTCTCTGCCTCCAGGTGACCCATCACCTGAAGGTAGGGACTGGATCTTCATCTCTGCACCAGACACAGCGGGGGCCCAAGAAGCTCTTTTCCCCTTCTCACTGTTTGAACTAAAAAACATTCGAGCTCTGGATTTCTGCCACTGGCTCCTTACATAGCTCATATGTTGCCCCTTTCTGCCAGAGAAGCATGGGATGCCAAGGAAGGGCTTAGAAGTTGACCCGATACCCCTGAGCTCCAGGGACAACTTGACAGTTGCAATTACATCACAGTCCTTCAGAGCCTCCTGTCATTACCAGTCATTTTAAATACCCTATTATTTTTCAGAAACTTATAAAATAGTCACGTTTATTTTTGAAATACCCATTATCCTCACAACGTGTGAAGTGCACTGCTCTTTGCCCATGTGGATTCCGGGAAAGTCCTCCTGTGTTTATTTTTCTGAGAGTCATCAGAGATTAGGAGCCTGCTTTGCTGGCACTGAGAGGCGCGTGCATGAAGCAGCCCAGGCAGAAACTGGTCCAGGGAGGATCAGGGGCAGCCTGTGCAGTAGGATAGGGATGATGGAAACTTCCCAACTTTCCACTAGTGTGCAGAGGATGTGAAGGTGGTAAAGGCCGGCCTTTATTTTTTTTTTTTAATTGTTAATCTCATTTGGTCAGAATATTTTAGAAAAGTCTACTATATTCTAGAACAACATTTTGGTCCTGAGACCTTTCTGTACTCTTAAAACTTATTCAGGACCAAAAAGAACTTTATGTGGGTTATATCTATCACTACTTACTGTGAAAAATGCTTGAAATGTATATGTATGTGGGTATACTACACATGTGTGTGCCCACACGAGCACACACACACTTTACTAGGCCCCACCTGACCAGATGGCAGGGCACATAAGCCACACAGTGTTGACTTGATGTGCCTCCTGAAATGGCCTTGGGGACCAACAAGAGTACCAGATATAGAAGCCACTGTCTGGATTGTGCGTTTTCTCTGCTGTGTGCTGTGGCAGCCTGGGCTATGGAAGAGAGGACTCGGGGGAGCCAGACCTGGCAGCCAGGAGACAAGGCTATCTTCCGAGCTCCCAAACCCAACAGTTGTAACTCTGAGCAAGTCCCCTCCCTCCCTCAGTAAGCCTTAGTGAACTCATCTATAAATTGATGTCACAGAGCCACTCTCAACCAAGCTTCAC